CCCTGGGTAGAGTGTCATGGCATCACAGCTCACAGCAACCTCAAACTCTTGGGCTTAAGTGACTCTCTTGCCTCAGCTGCCATAACACCCGGCTGTTTTTTGGTTATAGTTGTCATTGTTGTTTGGCAAGCCCAGGCAGGATTCGAATCCACCACCTCCGGTATATGTGGCCTGCACCCTAGCTGCTGAGCTACAGGCACGGAATCTATTTGCTTTATCTTACAACATACATAAAGAAGTTTTATATTATGATGTAAAAGTAAATGTCTGATTATAATATTTGTGTATATTTCTTTTTGTTTTTAGCTTGAAGAGAATAGGGTGTTAAAATATTGTTTTTAAAACCTATGGTTAATTCCTTTGCCCTTGTCCCCTTCAGTGTGGTTATGTTATTCATTTCCAGTACAGTAAGACTCAATTTTTTGTGTACATTCCATTTTGGATTCTTTTCTCATACTGTTTTGTTCTGTTTTGTTTTTCTCATTTAAAACATTAACATGGATTTAAAAGACCAATACAGAAAGGTAAAGTAAGATAGGTTATTAGAGTATTGCTGTATAAAACTTAATGGCTTTTATTGTGTTTGTTCTTTTAGGGTTTAATACGTCACTATTGAACAAATATGTGAAAATTCCTGCCAGCGAGTGACAATTTCTTCCTTTGGACATTTTTTGTTCTTCTTACTGCACAACTGTTTTAGAAATCCCTTTTTTGGTGCCATGTTCGGTGGCGTACATCAAAAGAGGAGTTCGTCTTCATGAAGATTCCTAACATTGGTAATGTGATGAATAAATTTGAGATTCTTGGGGTTGTAGGTGAAGGTAAGTTGGATTTCTACATTCCTTGAATTTTTGAGCAATGTGCATTTATATCTACTACCCCAAAAGTTACTAACTCAGATTCTATTAATTTAACATATATCTATTTAGATGTGGTTAAGAGTAAAATACTAAAAATAAAATTACTCTTAAATTATTCGGGTCTTTTCAGTGAAAAAGTAAAACATTTAAAAACTCTTTTAAAGTTTAATAAATCAAGATTTCTTAAGACTGCCCTCATTCTTTTTATTAGGAATCATAGTTTCTTTAGGCTACTTTTTTTTCCCCTTTGGTATCATTTTATTTTTATATCAGCTAGGCTTATTTTGAATAACTTAAAATGTATTTATATATGTTAAATTTTACTTAATACTTGGTAAATAAATGAACAAATAATTTCTATTACTTTGTAAATGACAAGCCACATTTTATAAATTCTGAACTACACAATTTGATCATATTTTACCATTTCCAAAAATCATGTGTCTGTCTTATAATCATTAGCAGATCATGGTTTAATTGGTAGAACTTTTTCTTTAATAGTAGTACATAAAGTAATGTTTATAGCCAGTAGTGTAATTGATCTGATAAAATGTGGTAATTCTTACAGGTTTATTTCTAGAAAAATTACCATTTCTTCCTGATTTTTCCTGCTTAGTAATATTTACTCTTGACTTAAAAATAACTTCTTAGAAATTTTGATAAATGGTTCTTTTAAAAGGGGATAAATGATTATAATTCTTTTTCTTAGCATTTATATCTTTAAAGCAAATATTATGAAAATTTCATATTTCAGATTTTTCAAATTTTGTACTTCTAAAGAAGTTTTAAATATTTATCGATGTGAATAGCAAAATTGTTTAAGATTTTAATGCTAAGTTGGTAAATTGTTTTCAAATAAATAGAAACATTAAAATATTAATAAAGAGAGTTTAATCATTGGATGCTTGTTTCAAGGACTGAAGTTGAAATCATCTAAAAAGAATGGGTCTTTCGGGTGGTGCCTGTGGCTCAGTGAGTAGGATGCCGGCCCCATATACTGAGGGTGGCGGGTTCAAACCCAGCCCCGGCCAAACTGCAACAAAGAATAGCTGGGCATTGTGGCGGGTGCCTGTGGTTCCAGCTACTCAGGAGGCTGAGGCAAGAGAATTGTCTAAGCCCAGGAGTTGGAGGTTGCTGTGAGCTGTGACGCCACAGCACTCTACCAAAGGTGACAAAGTGAGACTGTCTCTAAAAAAAAAAGAAGAAAAGAATTGGGTCTTTTTTCTCTTACTAGTCAACTCCTTTCCCATTTCTTTATTGATATTAATTATATAAAAACTCGTAATACCTTGTTTACTATCTGTTCTATAAGAACTATCTTTTAAATTAATTTTTCATAAGTATTGCAATTAGAGACTTGTGCAGTAAAGCTGCTGGCTAGAGGAGGTCAGTGCATAGGGTCTAACAAGGTTGGAATGTTCCAGATTCTGAGTTTTTCTGGATCATAACCTTGTTTTTCTCAATGTACTCATAGTTGATCATCATCTTAGGGATTGGCTCAGAATTACCAGAATCTCATATACATCAGACTATGTTAGTTTAAGGTGAAATCAGAATTATCATTGGTGTATAGTTTTTTTCTCTGAAAACCAGCTCAGATTTCTTTTGGCTTAGAAATTACATATTTATTGTAAGTATATAAAAATCTGTCAAGCAAGCTTTACATTCCTATAGCCCACATGGTAGATTTTTACCCTGTAGAAAAACTGACATGGGCAGTTAAACGGGGATTGGATGATTATGGAGTTCAGTTAGATGGTTATAATGGCTAGTTCCATCTTAACTATGATAATAGGGTTCATTTATTTTCCACCAAAATGAGGGCCTTGTTCAGGTCCCTTAGACTCCATTGAAAATACATTTTCCAATTTTTGTCTCCCTGAAGTCCCCTTCTTAGAGATGGATGCAGCTATGCCTGCTTCTAATGTCAGTGTTTTTGACATTTCTATAAAGCTTGGTTATCATATATTGCATTTTGATTCTCTTAATTAGATGTTTTACACTATAACTTTAACCTCAGTTTCTTGGGTACCTTGCCGTCTATTCTGTGTTCTGCTTCTAAGGAGGTAATTTGCCACCTAGGTGACAGGATAAATAACCCAATAGATAGTGAGGAATTGCATCAGAATACACCAAGGATAGTGGGAGTGCTTGTGGCCTGCACCCTTGAACTAAGTTTTTATTTATGGCAAAAAGGTGGGGACTCCTTTTTTTTTTTTTTTTTTTTGTAGAGACAGAGTTTGATTTTATCGCCCTCAGTAGAGTGCTGTGATGTCATAGCTCACAGAAACCTCCAACTCTTGGGCTTAGGTGATTCTCTTGCTTCAGCCTCCCAAGTAGCTGGGACTACAGGCGCCTGCCACAACACCCAGCTGATTTTTTGTTGCAGTTTGGCCGGGGTCGGGTTTGAACCTGCCACCCTCGGTATATGGGGCTGGCGCCATGCCCACAGAGCCACAGGTGCCTCCCGGTGGCGACTCCTTTTAGTTATTAATTGGAATGCTGAGGCCTATGCTGTTTTGCCAGTCAGAAGACCTTCTGGTATCCCAGAGGAATGTATAAATGTCTCCTAGGACAGATAGCATATTTGGTAGGTTCTATGGTTGAGCTTATGATTGGAATGTTTTTAGCTCTTAATTTCTCTAGAATCTTTTGAGTTAATTTTCATTTACTATCCCACATCTTATCTCTACAAATGTGTAAGCCTAAATTATAAAATGTTTTAAGTGAAATTTTCTTCAACAAGAGAAATATTTAAATATTAAAATATTTAATATAAAAATATATTAAAAATATTTCTTGTGAGAAATTACTTATCTATACTCTTAGTTTATAAAAAATATATAATAAAATATCCATGCTCTATTTCTATGTTGTTCATTACTGTGTTATCACCCTAGAATATGGTCATTTGGGGAACCATTACTATAACAGATACACGTAAACAATACAAATATAGCAGAACTTTGATTTCTTTAAGAGCTGTAGTTTATATGCATGGCCTTGATTGTTTACCTCTTTTTATTATAGGAGCCTACGGAGTTGTACTTAAATGCAGACACAAGGCAAGTACATGGTTTTTAAGAAAAAAATATCTGTATATGTTTAACTTTTTTGAAAGTAGTACATTGCTTTGTACATGTGGACATAACACATGTTGAGTATCCCTTATCTGAAATGCTTAATTAAGGCTACAAATGTTTTGAATTTTGGAATATTTGCATATTCCAAATGTGGGACCCACGTCTAAACACAAAATTCATTTATGTTTCATATACACCTTATATGAGTACCTGAAGGTAATTTTATACAATATTTTAAATTTTGTGCATAAAACAGAGTTTGTACTAAATACTTATATATGAAATTTTCCACTTGTTACATCAGGTTGGTGCTCAAAAAGTTTTGGATTGTAGAGTATTTCAGATTTCAAATTTTCCAATTAGGGATGCTCAACATGTAATTAAAACTTTCTGGTTATAATGATGATGCTTATAGAAGTGGAATGAGTATGTCAACTCAGAAAGAGACTACTGTTGGATGAGCTTGATCATAGTTAAGTAGTCCTTAGCTCTTTGCAATATGTGCTATTTTTTTCAACCAACCCGTGCCATGCCACCTCATAATGACATTTAGATTAACAACAGGCAGCATACATAGGGTAGTCCCACAGGATCATATTATGGCATTTTTACTGTGCCTTTTCTGTGTTTATATATGTTTAGATACACAAATAACATTAGGTTAGGTTGTCTCCAGTATCCAGTACATACAGTAACATGCTATACAGATTTATAGCCTAGATGTATGGTAGACTATACTGTCTAGGTTTGTGGAAGTATACTCTTTAATATTTGCACAATGACAAAATCACCTAATGATGTATTTCTCAGAATGTATCCCCCTGTTAAGTGATACGTGACTCTGTAAAGTGAAAAGGTGGTAGAATGGGAAGAAGAGAGCTTATATTCAAGTGCTTACCAGCAAGGAATTTTTCCAGTATTTTTCACATAGAATCAGTGATTTAAATTGCTTGATGGATTTGATCCCAGATTTCAAAGGGTAGTGGATAGGTGTTCGGTTATGAATGAGGGCTTGGGATAGTGGTGCATGATTATGATTATAGGCTGTAGTTGGTCACCCTTGAACACTCATGAGATAATTCTTATTATGGATTATTGTAATAGTCGTGGATTATTGTAATAATCGCGGATTATTCAGGGAAGTTATATAAAGTTTTCATAGCCCTTTTTCAGCATTATGTTTTGCTTGGAGGCTAACTTTAAGATGGCAAGTGTTAAAACCATTAATAATTTCAAAGATTAGATTAACATATTAACTGCCATGTGAGTTGTATTTAACTCATACTAGGTTTTGAGCCCAGGGCCTCATGAAGCTGTGATACCACTGCTCATTATTTTTGCTGTCAGTTGGTACGTCTCCCCAACATCCAGCTGGCCTGTCCAAAGGGACCAAATGTGCTAGACTGTGTTTTCCAATTACCCTAGTTTCTGATTGCACATTTTGCCTTGAATGTTTGCTGGGCGGATCTTTGAATGAAATCAATGTGATAGTATGCAGTGATGTGACATTGTGTACATACTTGGGAGTGTGATTCAGAAGTCCTCCTCTAGGACCATCCAAGGTTCACCAGACACAACTAAATACTTGTGGAATGACAAAAGACTTCATTCTCCAAAACAAATTCAATGAGTATTTTGTGAGTCACCTACAACTGTAGCCCCAAGGAGAAAACTTTTTTTCTAAAAAGTGCGACAGTCAATGTGTTAAATATTTTTCTGTTATGGTTTACCTTGTTTAGTATAACATTTGGCCTCATATTATTTTGTACATGTTAAGACCGAGGTTTTAAGTTTTTTTGTGATTTTTATAGTGATATATTTTATGTCTGAGATGAGCTTAGCAATTTAACCCAAAACATTGAAAGTCTTGGATTTATCATCTATCAATATATAATATGTGTGTATGTATATATTCATACACATGCAAATAAAGAGGATATAATTTTTATGTTTGCTTTTCTTTTCCTATTGGATATAAAATACTACCTACTTTTTGGATTTAAGGCTTCATGACAATATTTTTGTGTTTTAGATCACAAATCTCTTACTTTAATGCAATGGCTTTTCTATTCTTAAAAATGGGTATTTAAATTGTTTATAGTAGTCATCTGACGATCTCTTTGTCAGTAAATCCTCAAAAATGAATAGAGGCCGAGGTTGGTGGATTGCCTGAGCTGACAAGTTCGAGACCAGCCTGAATCAGAGCGAGACCCCATCTCTAAATATAGCCAGGTGTTGTGGCAGGTGCCTGTAGTTCCAGCTACTTGTGAGGCTAAGACAAGAGAATCACTTAAGTCCAAGAGTTTGAGGTTACTGTGAGCTGTGATGCTATGGCACTCTACCGAGGGCAACAAAATGAGACTCTCAAAAAAAGGTTTGAATACTGGTGGTTCTTGATTAAGGATGATTAAGAATTTAAAATAATAAATGGAATCAAAGTAAATTTAGCATCTTGAATGTCTCATTAAGAAATATTACCACAATTTGCATTAAATGGAAAACTCGCTAATGAAATGCTACACTTTTGATTAGTTGTCTTTAGTTATATTCTGAAGCTTAAAAAAAATTCCAGGGTAGATATACTTGGGGGAAATAGGCTGTTAGTTTCCAAGTTAAATTTGACTCTTTTATGAATATAATACCTCCTTTTATACTATAGCTCTGTTTATATAGCATAGCAGATAGAAGCTTCAGTTCTTAATCCTAAACTTGGGTTTTAAAACCCAAGGATTTCTTGAGATATCTACATATCTCTTATATATACATACTTGCATATACATACATTATATATATGTGTCCTATGTATAATATACTGTATAGTGCAAAGAATCCAAATGTTTTCTCCCAGTCTTTGTCATTCTTTGACCTGTGACCTTTTTCCCTTTCTTTTGACTCTAAGTGCTCCTTCTGCCGTTATATAAAAATAAAGTTTATTAGTCAAATATATTATTTTAATTTTTCCATTTACTCATGTGTTAAAATGTGGTTGCACATACTTGGTTCTTAATAACACACACTATTAATGCCAGCAGGATGGGCCCAGAGAGAAGGTGGATGAGAATGGGTATCTCTGCTTTGGGGAAACCCACTCTAATTCCTAGTGGCTGTGTGTAGGACACTTGGAGTTATAGGGATGGATAAACCATAGTTTTCTTGCCCTTACATGCCTTATGGTCTGTCTGAAGAGATAGATGATAGATACTTAAGCAAAGTTGTATGGTTACTGCAGATGGGATCACATCTACAAAATTTCTCTTTTTGCTGCCCTTCACTACATGAAGGACTCGGACTAGCTCTCTAAGTATTGCTACTTTTTCCTTTCTTGCTTCTAAAAAAATATCAGTGGATGGAAAGTGTAAAGCATAAATTCGTGCCTATCTCAGAGTAATATAAAACTCTTTTTAGAATCTGCAGCTGTTTAGTCATTAGAGTTGTTATAGTTTATCTTTTTCTCAGCTAAAATCAGACCTTCAAATCTATTGCCCCATAGCTAAAAATAGAGAATTTAATGCTTCTGGTGAGAGATATACTTTAGGATGGGACCAGTGGATTACTATGAAACTCATGTGATAGTTAAAAATGTATTTATAAGCACCCTATTATACTTATTATATGTAGAATATTGTGCCAGTATATTTTGTATGCCTTTAAAATTTTAGTAAACTGCTTATAAAAATGTATAAGTCAGGTCTGGGTGATTGCTTATACATAAATTGGGTATCTTTTTGAAAAGGTTGGTTGTGGGTGTATATATAATGAAATAATTCTTAGCATACTGTTTATTTGAACAAGTATCAAAGAAAGTCACTATTTTAATCTGTGTACTGTTGCAGTAATTTAGAGGTCATGTTTATGAACAGATATATGTCTTGTCTTTTGTGAACACAACATGATGTTGGGCTAATTTAGGCTAAAGACTGTACTTTTTAATTTGCTGAAATAAACACTGCCAAATTAAAAAAGAAAAATACAGCTTGTACCTTTTTTCTTTTTGGACAACTTCTGTTTATTGTTATATATACACATTGGCATGTATGTGAAAACTCTCAACGGTGACTGTTAAGCTTGTTTACAATCCCTTAAGACTACTCACATTTGAAAGGTGTTCTGGTTTGGACCCTTACCCTACAGATATGCATTGTTGATTATCTTTTTTTATTTACATGTCTATTTCAAAGAACCTGTGAGAAAGGAGACATGTTTTATCTCATGCTTTCCTTAGCAGAAACCTAAAAAGGTCCTGCTCACAATAGGGTAGGGAAAATTGAATGTGGTTGGAATAGGGAGATTAGAGTTTGAGGAAGGAGGTCATGCAGCCTGATAGAGGTTGTACAGTGATGCCCTGAGCCCAGGACAGGGGAATTCTGATTCACATAGTTCCTTATCTTTGGCTGTGGTTGATTTATGAGACGTTTTTGTTTGTTTTGAAGTAATAGATGATATATACCTTTGAGGTAGCTAATTATACAAAGCCATAAGCAATCCAATATTGGGGTGTAGCCTAGAAGTTTTAAATAATAATATTGTCTTTTTTTTTTTTGAGACAGAGTCTCAAGCTGTTGCCCTGGGTAGAGTGCTGTGGCATCACAGCTCACAGCAACCTCTAACTCCTGGGCT